GAAGAGGCTCGGACGACGACGAAGAAGGCGACGAATTTGACGACGACGACGACGACGAGTTTGACGGCCAGCCCATCAAGCTCGGCATGCGCGGCCGCAGCGCAGACTCGGACGACTCGGACGACGAGCAAGACGACGAGGACGAGGGTGACGACGCGGCGCCCCTCGGTGACAACGACGACGAGGAAGATGACGGCCTGCAGACCAACATCTCAGGTCGCGACACGTTCACGCTGCCCAGCGGTCAGGAGATTGAGAAGGAGTCTCTGCTGCCCCCAGACCGTGTTCTCTTGCAGCAGCGCATCAAGGACAACATTATGGTTTTGGCCGACTTTGCCAAGCTCCGCGATCCCGAGCGGTAAGGGTGGTTGTGTTTTTGGGGTTTATTTTGTTTGTTTTTGTTTGTTTTATTTGTGGTTTTTGAGCGACGTTTGCTGGCACTCTTGAGCTCATTCATGTGTCTGCTACCCCATGCTCGTAGATCGCGATCCGAGTACATGGAGGTGCTCACCCGCGACCTGACGCTGTACTATGGCTACTCTGACTATCTGATGGGCAAGCTGCTCGAGCTGTTCCCTCTTGGCGAGGTATGGGGAGTGTTTGGTGGTTGGTTTGTTTGTTAGTTGGGTTGCTTGTTTGGTTGGTATGGCCGAGGTGGGGGGGGGGAATGCCTCGGACAAGTCCACGATTGAGCTTGGCTCCTCACTCTGCCTGCTCATCCACTCCAGATTGTCGAATTCCTCGAGGCAAACGAATCGCCACGCCCCATCTCCATCCGCACAAACACGCTCAAGACGCGAAGGCGCGACTTGGCTCAAGCGCTGATCAACCGCGGCGTCAACCTCGACCCCATCGGCAAGTGGTCCAAGGTCGGTCTGGTCATTTTCGACTCGCCTGTTCCGATTGGCGCCACGCCCGAGTACTTGGCGGGCCACTACATGATCCAGAGCGCCTCGTCCTTCCTTCCGGTCATGGCGATGGCTCCGCAAGAGCACGAGCGTATCTTGACCATGTGCGCCGCACCCGGTGGCAAGACTGCTTACTGCGGTGTGTATTTATGGTTGTCCGCGTATTTGTGGGTGGTTGGTTGCTGTGTGTCACTCACGGCGTTTATGGTTGTGATTTTCGGTGATTGGGGGTTTTGTTGGTTTTTTTTTTTTCAGCCGCCCTCATGAAGAATACCGGTGTCATTTTCGCCAATGACGCCAGCAAGGACCGGTTGCGGGCACTGGTCGCCAATACCCATCGCATGGGCATCACCAACACGATCGTTTGCAACTACGACGGCCGCGCCTTCCCCAAGGTGATGGGTAACTTTGACCGCGTTCTTCTGGACGCCCCGTGCTCGGGCACTGGTGTCATTGCCAAGGATCAGTCTGTCAAGACCAACAAGGTGAGTGACTGTGGTTTGGTTGGCAAGGTGATACGTTGATTGTGTGAACGCTCACTTTACCCTCACTTTACGTTCTCTCTCTCGTTTCCGTCTCTTCTTCTACTTCTTGCTCTTCTTCTTCTTCTTCGTCGTCGTTCAGTCGGACGATGACATTATGCGCTGCAGCACACTGCAAAAGGAGCTCATTCTGGCCGCGATCGACTCTGTCGACGCCAACAGCAAGACTGGCGGCTACATTGTTTACTCGACATGCTCCATCACCGTCGAGGAGAACGAGTGGGTTATCGACTATGCTCTGCGCAAGCGCAACGTCAAGCTGGTCGAGACCGGGCTGGACTTTGGTCAGCCTGGCTTCAAGAGGTGAGTGCGCGCATGTGTGGTGCGGTGTGCTTGGTTTTTCGCAGCTTTTTTTTTTCTTTTTTTTTTTTTTTTTTTTTGGTTGCTGACATTGAGCTTGATTTTGGACTCAGCTTCCGCGAGCGCCGCTTCCATCCGACCGTCAGCCTCTCGCGCCGCTTCTACCCACACGTGCACAACATGGACGGTTTCTTTGTGGCCAAGTTCAAGAAGATTAGCAACGCCATTCCCCGTGCGCAGGGCGAGGACGGCGAAGACGGCCAAGCAGGCAGTGACGACGATGACGAGGAGGACGGGAGCAAGGCCGACCGCAAAAAGCACAAAAAGCATGGCAGCGGCAAGCAGTCGGCAGACTCGAGCAGTGACAAGCACGGTCGGTCAAGTGTTGCCGCGCAAGCCAGCGGCGAACAGATGGTGGTGGATGCGCAAGCAAGCGCCAAGCCACTGCGCAGCAAGAACAAGGACGCCCCGAAACAAAAGCAGCAGCAGGAGGAGGAGGAGGAGAGCAATCAAGCAGCCCAGGCCTCCGTCAAGCCCTCGACAAAGGCAAAGGAGGCGAAATCTCAGTCTGCCGACGAACCCGCCAAGCCTGTGCGAGGTGCGAAGCGTTCGGCAGAAGCAGATGCCCCGGTCGCTGCGCCAGCAGCAGCGGAACCAGCGTCTAGCAAAAAAGAAGGCGCGCGTCGAGCCAGAAGAGACCCCCGCTGTCAAGCCGGCATCATCTGCTGCTGCTGCTGCTGTCAGAGCGGCAAGTCTTCAAAGCGACCAAGTCTGCCAAGGCATAGCTCGAGTGGTGTTGATGGAGAGAGAGAAAAGGAGCGCTCACAAGTTCATATTCTTAAAAATACAATGGTTTTACATTCATTCGTGTGCGTGAGCCATGTTGTGTGTGGGGGGGGTGTGCGTGAGCCATGCGACTGTGCGCGCGGGAGCTAAGAATGCACGCACAGTTTGTTTCGTCGTTGTTTCGTTTAAGTCATCATAGAGCGAGAGAGAGAGAAAAGAGCCGACCTGGGCCAGCTACAAAAATTGCGACAGGAAGCAAGCTTCACATGTCGCGGGCTTGGATGTTTAGTTTGCAATCAGCAAAAAGCCACGCATCGGGAATTCCCTCACGCACGATGGCACCACCCTTGCACAAAGATGTCGAGCAATCTTTGAAGCGTGTGTCTGCGCGCTCTCACACACGCGCCCCCGATCGAGCGCACGCGTACACAAGCGTGCATTCAGCCAGCGCAGCGCGGATAGTAAGCAGCAGTCGAGCAAGTCGCCGAGTTGGAGCACAGAGGCGATTGCACCGAGTTGGATTCAAAGCTTGGCGCAAACGCGATTGTGGTTTGCTCCTGCTGGTTTTTGGATTGCTGCAATCTGCGTTCGCCGCGTCCTCCCCCTCGCCTTCTCAAAATAAATCGGAGTTGTTTGTGTTGACCCGTGGGTATGGCGGTGGTCGCGGATGCAGCAGCTGAGCGCAGCGGCAATCCAACGTTCAGACTGCGATTTTGACTTTCAATGATTAAATTCGACCTGTTGTTTTCCCCCACCTCCTCCAGCCTTTGCGAATCTCCATACAACCACAAAATGCATGTATCGTTCGACATTTTCATAGCCACATGCGATACATTGAACGCAGCGAGCATCATTGGTCAGTCCTCCAAAACCTCGCAACGTCTCTCAATCGCCCGCCGAAAATGGCACGGCTGCGCAAGGTCGAGCTCGCGCTCGTTCTCGTTGCCATTCTGGCATACTACTGCATTGTCGAGGACGGCTCGAGCAGCATTCTTCAGGGCGGCCGAGCGATTGCTCGTCAAGCGGTAAATCTCCATCATCCTCGGCGGCGCGCTCTTTGAACCACTCAAGTCCAGGCTGCACTCATGCGTTGTCTTGAACATTGTTGTTTCTGTCACAGATCAGCATTCTGCCGCCTGAAACCGCCGTCTCGGTGCGCTTCTGGCTGCACCAAGCCGAGCAGCAAGCAGCGGCGTCTCGTGCAGCACTGTTCACGCTGCTGTGGCCGAGCTCCTCGGAGGCGCTCCACGCTGCCAATGAGCAGCTTAGCAAAGATGTCCGCTTGACGCTTTGGTGGATGGGTCCCGCATTCTCGGGTGGCGGGTATAGCAGCGAGCTCATCTCGTTCGCCAAGTCGCTCTCGCCGTTCGTGCGAATGCGCATCACCCAGCACGGCGATGCGTTCTCGTGGAGCTTTGTGGCTGGACTGCCCAAGAACGTGTCGGCGCTGCTGCACACGCTCGCGGCGACCGCGTCCCAGCCGGGCGAATCGATCGTTGTGTGCCACTCGGAGCCCGGCGCCTGGAATCCCTCGCTGTATCGCACCTCGCCCTGCCCCGTGCTCGAGCTGGAGGAGGTGAGTCGGCGCGAAGAAGTGGTGGGACCCAAGCCGAGCTATCCGAACGATGTAGCGCGTGTGCACGCCGAAGGTCGCATGCGCTCTGCCTACACGATTGGCCGCACCATGTTTGAGGCAGACCGCATTGTTCCCGAATGGGTTCGGCGATGCAATGCCATGGACGAGGTCTGGGTGCCGACCGGCTTCCACGTCGAGGCCTTTGCTGCAAGCGGAGTGCATCCCGACAAGATTGTCAAGATTCCCGAAGCCGTGGACGTGGAGTTTTTCGACCCTTCCAAGCACCTGCCAATGGCACTTCCGGCGGGCCAGCTGGCAGTTGGTCAGCCTATTGATACCGCGACTGCTACTGCTGCAGACCATTTTGCATTTTTAAGCGTGTTCAAGTGGGAGCCGCGAAAAGCCTGGGATGTGCTCATCAAAGCGTACCTGCTCGAGTTTGCCAGCAGTGCGCATCGAGACAAGGTGGCGTTGTATCTGCTCACCAACCCCTTCCATGGGGATGGCAACTTTGAGCTGCAAATTCGCCAACTCATCACACAAACAGGCGATGCCGAGCTCGCTCAAGCCCCTCTCGATCAACTGCCACCCATATACATTCTAGACCAGCACGTGCCCGAGGAGCAGCTGCCCAGCTTGTACAAGGCTGTCAACTGTGTCGTCATTCCGAGCAGGGGCGAAGGCTGGGGTCGGCCTCACGTTGAGGCCATGGCTATGGGCCTGCCGCTGATTGCCACCAACTGGTCTGGGCCAACAGAGTATCTCAACAGCAACAATGGCTACCCGCTCGCAATCGACGGACTGACTGTCATTGAAAGCGGCGCGTATCGAGGTCTCAAATGGGCGCAGCCATCACTGTCGCACTTGCGCTCGCTCATGCGGCATGTGTTTGTGGAGCGCAACGGCGATGCGCTGCGCAAAGGCAGTCAAGCACGACGTGATATGATTGCCCATTACCGCCCCGAGCGAGTGGCGCAGGTGGTACTTGCGCGCCTTCTGCACATTCAACGGCTGGTGGATGACCGCAAAGCCAAGCAGCAGGAGCAACAACAACATCAACAACAACCTGCAGACGCACTAGTACCGTAAAAAGGCAGCCCACTACACTACATCGATTGAACATTTATTTTGAAACTTGTGTGTGACAATACATAACAGGGAACATCACACCACCCTTTGAACGTGATCTAACAATAATAGCTCCAGCCCGAATGGACGGACTTGAGAGAGTATCAACAGCCAGCAAGTAAGACACTGAAACACAAAAGCGGGGCGAGCAGCCACAACGTTGTTGGTCGCAATAGCACGCTGTCATTGGATCGAGCAGCAGGTGAGCCAGCCCCTGGAGCACTCGTCACTGAGCCGGCGCTGTTCCAGAAGGTGACACGCGCGAGATACGTGATCTCGGTGGAAAGCCCGTTGGCGATAAACCAGCGACGAGTGCCGCTGTAAATCGTCGCGCTCGCGCCTGACGATCCCACGTACAAATCCAGAGTGTAGCGCACCAGCAGTCCGTTTGGCAGATCGGGTGCGCTCCACGTAATATTCAAACTTGTCCTGTTGTAAGGCTGGAGAACGGGCGGGTTGATGCTTGCAGGAACTTCGAACAAGCCGTATTATCCGCCATGCGAGAGCGAAACAAATCCCAAAGCGAAAACAAAAAGAAAAATAGTCAACAAACCGAAAAGTGAGCCTAAGAGCAAAAACAGGGTGCTGCATTCATCGAAGGAAACTGGAGAAAGGGGGGATCAAAAAGCGCAAAACCACCTACCGTCTTCCAGAGTGCGAACGGTAGCATTGGGACTTGCGGTTGACCCCGCGCTGGTCTTTGCGTAGACGACGTAGGTGTAGCTTGTATAGGGCTCAAGCATTCGGTCGCTAAAGGTGTAACGCGGTGGACTGCCTGTCGGGACTGGCGGAGCAGAATTGAATATCTCGGCTCCGTTACGCCGAATAACAAAGCCGCTGACAACGCCATTCGGCACGGCTGGATCTTTAAACTGAATGTCAATCTGCCGCGACGAGATTGGAATCAGAACCGGAGCGCTGACATTTTGTGGAGCTGTCAACAATCAGTTTTGGAAAAGTCAGCAAGACGCAAAAACACTCACACAAAAAAGTAGGCAGACCGATGCAATAGTTCTGAAATGTACAACATGTGCACTTACCAGCTTCTGCGGTGCGAATCGTGGTGATCGCGCTCGAGGTGCTCCCGGCAAGATTGGAGGCAATGGTGTACATTGAGTACGTCTTGTAGGGCGACAAGTTTGTGAGATTGTACGAAACGCGCGAGTTTGCGCAAAAGGACTGGGTGCCGGGAAGCACGGACGAGTTGAAAGCAAAAAAGTCCATGCTTGCAACCGATCCAACGAACAGACGGTAGGCGGTGACAATCCCATTCACGTTGCTTGCTGGCTCCCATGAGACGAGCACAGACGTGGCACGCACGTCAGAGTAGGTTGGTCCAGGAACAGACAATGGCGCGGCACGACTTGCTGGACACGGCGTCCGATTCCGCCAAATGACGGGAAGCGTTGTTGCGACGCTGGTCCAGTTCACCACCCCAGTGAAGCAGAGCGCTGCGTTATCTTGGATGATGACAAGTCCACCAACTCCGCGGGAGGAGAGGCCGAGCAAGCCGTCGACGTTTGCCAAAACCGCATTCTGCTCGATTGTCATGCCACCGCCGACCGTGCGCAGTTTGGACAGGCCGTCAATGTCAGCGAGAACGGGGTTGTAGCGCACTGCAAGGTTGGAGCCGACAGACTTGAGGGCACACAATCCCTGCAAGCTCGTCGGATTGCAAGCAATGACGCTTGCATTCGCGCCAATGCTGACAAGGCTGGGAAACTCGATGGATGCAAGCAGTGGATTGGACAGCAACGTCAAGTCCCCATTCACGAGGGTGAGAGAGCGGGTGGAGTTGAGTTGGCGCAGCTTTGGATTGCTCGACACCGTCAAAGACCCGGCGACCGTGCGCAATTGCGACAGTCCCGAAAAGCTGGTGAGGGCCGAGTTGAGCGAGACCTCAAAAGACCCACCAATCTGCCGCACTCCCGCAAGACCGGCGAGATTGCCCAGAGCCGGATTGGAAGTGATGGAGAGGGATCCTCCGATGTTGGTGAGCGCCTCGAGACCAGCGAGGGAGCCAAGCGCGGTGTTTGAGGTGATGGTCACGCCGCCAGTGACGTTGACGAGGCTTTGCAACCCAGGCGTCTGCAGTGAGATGATGTCGCTGCCAGAAATGGTGAGAGAGCCCGAGATGGCGGTGCAGGCCGTCACAAATCTCGCAACATCGAGGCTCGATGCGAGCGTGGTTGATCCGCAGGTAACTGTAGAACCGACCAAACAAACCAACAATCAGTCGCGGCATTTTCAGATCGAGGAATGGTCGAAGCGGGGGGGGGCGAAATGGAGAAAGTGGTGCTCGGAGACAAGCAAACCACGAAATGCTCAGACGTGCTGCCGAAAAAAATGCAGTCATCGGGCAGTTGGCAGTTGACAGTTGTTGGTGGATCATCGACGCCGTGTCTCTCGTTGCTTTCCCACTTCAAAGCCCCAAAAGTCAATGCAAAGTTCAAACTCGTCGATATGCCGTTAGTTGTTTAGTATTGTGGGTTTTTTTTTTTTTTTTTTTTTTTTTGGTTTTTCGCTCGGTGACCGTTTCTTTCAGAACTCTTCCATTCGGTTCATTCACGAGCTCATAGCAATGAGTTGAAGTGCATTTGCAATGCAGGTCACAGTTTTTTTCAATACGGACCAGCGAGCGCAGGACGCGGCAATGCGGCTGCAGCAAAGAGCAGCAACAGCAGCACCATGGCAGCGGAAATAGAGTCGACTCGCTGCATCATCGACGGCCTGGCGCGGGCAGCCCAGCCACAGCGACGGCCATGATGATACTGGTGATACTGATGGTGATGATGATGGGCAGTCGCGTCGGGAGTCGCGGCAGCTGGCTTGAATGGACCTGACAACAGCAAAGTGACCAAAACAAAAAACCATGACATTTGGAACTGAGTCATTTGATAGAGGAGGCAGGGGTTGGTGATGGCGCTCATGCGATCAAGCACACAAGCATGGACAAGGGCAACGAATGCCGGATTGCCATTGCAAAGGAGAACAGCGTAAGGGAGCGAAACCGAAAACGAGAGCTCGCTCTCTCTCTCTCTCTCTCTCGCGCTCTCACCTTCGTTACCGCGTCGGCGGCGTCGGTGGTGTGGCGAGCGCTCAGCCATACTGTGATACTATTTTCTGGAACAAAGATGTTGAATGCAATCAAAGACTGAAGGAAAAGCACTGAAAAGCACTGAAGGCGAACAAAGTGAGACTGAGCGATTCAGTCCTCGTTGTCTGCATTCGAGATTGGAAAAACATGGGCAGGCCTCGCAAAGTAGCAGCAGCACCGGCAGCACCAGCAGCAGCAGCAGTAAAACCCGCACCAGTAGCACCTGCACCAGTAGCAGCACCTGCGCCCGTCCCGGTGGCTGCTCCTGCTGCTCCTGCTGTGGCTCCGGCTGAAACCGCTCCCGCCAAGCCACGCAAGGCCAAGCCAGCAATCGACCCGCGCAACAACGCCGCTCCAAACCCACTCGATGCAGGCGTGGTAGGGAAGGCCAAGAGCGGCCGGCACTGGAAGACACGCCAGACGCAGCGGTGAGTTGGGGGGAGAAGGACTTGGCGCGACGTTGAAAGCACCACACATGGTGCGTTTGTGCTCACACACTGAAGCATCTCGCTCGTGCCAATGCATTATACTGTGCGTGCACTGCATCCATGTGCAAAATTGCAAAACAACAGAGCGTCTGCACGAATGAACGTCCCGTCCGCGCGCGTCGGCTGGGCCAAGCTCATGGAGCGAAAGCAGGAGAAGCTTCCCATGCGGGAGCAGGAGCGCCAACTCCAAGAGCAGATCGACCAGGCCAAGCAGGTGGGGCATTACAAAGCAAAAACAGCCACGAATTAATGCGTGGTTGTTTTCCCCCCCCCCCAAGCAAAAGGCATTGATTGTGTGGAGGAGTAGGGGGGGGGGCGGAACAAAGTTGGGCGATGCAACTCACTATCCAAAATCAACTACGCTCTCTCTCTCTCTCTCTCTCTCTCTCACTCATAGGCTGAGCGTGAAGCCCGTATTGCCAAGCAAAAGCGACGTGCCGAGAACGAACGCAAGAGCGAGGTTGTGCAGAAGGTAAGCCGACCGCTCTTTTGGAGTTGTTTCGCCAACTTTGATTCGGTTGCTCAAAAACAATCCGCCTTCTGTTTTGCTTGTTTTGCTTTGTTGCTCGCGTTTGCCGCTGCGTTCAACGCAATGCAGATTACCAATACTTCCAAGATTAAGCGAATGAGCAAGGCTCAACTCCGCACCTTGTCACGACGATGAAGCAAACGTGTTTGTCTCATTTGTTCCATCAACCTCAAAAACAAACAAACACCAAAAAGTTACGCCACAGTCGCTCCATTCCAAAAGAAATGTTGAGAGAACGCCTGCCAACAGTGCCCAAAGCGCGACACCGGCAGAGGTGGAGTTGTCGGCGGCAGAGACTTTTTACCAACAAGATTTGAAGAGGAGATGCAACAGCAACAACAAGGAGAGTTATAACATTTAACTGACAACCAAGCTATGAACAAACAAACACAACAGAGGCACCAACGAATGGCACAAAGTTGTCCAGATGAAAACAACAACAGTAATATCAAAAAGCCATCCAATCAACAACAACAACAACAACAACAAAAAATAACCAACAAAAACACACAAAAAAAAAAAGTGGTAGAATGAAAACACAAACAACGATAACTGAAAAATCGCAAACAATCAAGAAATTAAAATGGTGACGGGGAAGGTTTTAGGCAGTGGAGGTGTCACTTGCTGGTAAAACCAAGATGGGGCGAACTGGTGACGGGGTACTCAGCTCTCTATCACTGTCGCCAGTGCGATGAGATGGCGCTGAATCCAACGAGATGGAACGCAGACGCGCCTGCTCGAAGGAATGCGCCAGTGCTTGGGCGCGAGGTGAGCGGGGCGGTGGCAGACCGGAGCGTGCAGAGAGCCCAAGGTAGGGACTGGACGACTCGCTTTCGTTGGCGCTGCTTCCAAAGGAGGATGTGCGAGAATCGGGTCGGCGCCAGGTGTCATCATCCGTGTCCGTGTCGTCTTCCGAAAGAATGGACAGCGGCATGCCTGTGGCGCGGGGACTGCCCATGCTGGTGCTCGATGCCCCAGGCGAGGTCTGCATCGAAGCAAAGAACTCGGCAAACGACTGGGTCTGTCCCGAAAACGTCCCAGCTGCGTGATGCGAAGACAGAGGAAGCGACGATGCAGCAGGCGGGTCGGAGGCGCGTCGGTGGTGAGGCGAGACGGGAATCGTCTGCTCGCTGGCATTGCTGTGCATGGATGATTCCGAGTGGCGACGCATGGAGCTGGATTCGACCAACGTCTCGGACGACACGGCATGTGTGGGCGCCGGCAGGCCACGGTCGCTGGCTGTCGGTGCTTCCACGGAAGGGATGACCAACGAATGCAGAGTGGAGGCGCGTGCTCGGTACGTGCCACCAGCAGCAGCAGAAGCAGAAGCAGTAGCAGCAGTAGCAGCAGCAGTGCTCGATGCTGCGGCAAGGTGGGGCTCGGACGAGGACACTTGCAACGCACCAGAAGGATTCGACGCGACGCTCAGAATCACACTCGGGCTGGTCGCCGTACGATGGCGGGGTACCAGGCCGCCGGTTGAACGCGATGACGATGCGTGCGAGCTGGAGCGACGACCAGAAATGGCGCCATCTTCGCTCGAATGAATAAAGCCATGTGAGCCGCTGTGAGAGCCATCGTGGTAGTCAGAGGAGGCAGGACGAGAGGAAGTGCGCACGCGGAAGAGGGACGTGAAGAGCGACGCTGCAGAGTTTCGGCGACGCGCAGTCGCAGGCGAAGTTTCGGGCGAGGTGGTTGCGGCAGCCGTTGAGGCTGCTGTGCCGGCTGTCGCTGCAGCCGCGGTCTCTGCAAGACCCGCGAGAGCAGCAGGAGGAAGGGAGGATGATGATAATGATGCTGTTGTTGTTGCTGCGGCAGCAGTTGTCGCGGTCGCAGCTGATGTGGTTGCCGCGCCTGCTGCTGTTTCTGCAGAAACGCTTCCGACAGGGGTTGCTGGTGCGGCTGGCGCAGGGCTCGCTGCCGTTGGAGTCGACTTTGTGCGCTTGCGATGCGCACCGTCGGGGTACTTGTAACGATAATAGCAAGCCGTGCCGCACAGTGTTTTGAGCAAGGGCAGGCGTTGGTTTTGGGAGTTTTCGTGGAACTCAATCACTTCCATCTTGGATTGGATGAAGGGCCCGCCGCAGTTGGTGCAAGCACGAGCGGACGCCAGATACTCGACCAAGTCCTCGGAAATGTCATCGCGCTCGTAAGGGATGATTCGACAGCGCACTCCGAGGGCAGAGACGGCGAGGACAAAGCGCCGCTGAATCTCATAGGGAGCGAGCGGCTTGTGGGCGACACTGGGAGAGCCGGATGCATGCACGGGAGAAAAGAGGGCAGCAGGAGCGGCAGCCGAGGCACTGGCGCTCGTGGAGGTGGCCGGCGGGGCGCTACTGCTAGATGAAGTTGCTGCTGTGTTGGAGGCCGCTGCTACTACTGCTGCTGCCTCGGAGGCAGGGGTCATGCCGGCGTTGGACGGGCTGGGCACGCCAGGCATCGGACGGCGGAAGACAACCGAAGCCGACGAGGACAGCGAGGCTGAAAGGGAAGCAAGGGTCGACGACAGCGGCGAGGCGAGAGGCAGACCCGGCGAAGTAGCAGCGGTGGTGGCGACAGGCTGAAATTCCGCGGCAGACGAGGACGCAGATGTTGGCGACAGCGGACGGGGCTGGTGCACGACGGGCGGCATGGCGGTGGACGAAGACTGCGGCGAAGACGCTCCTCGCGGTGAAGACTGGGTGTCGGAATGAAGCAAGCTGCTGAATGTGGGCAAGGCCAGCGCAAAGGCATGGAGGAAATTGCTCCGCTTTTTCGTGCTGGTTGGGGGCGGAGACACGAGCACCTGGCGGGCAGCAAGTTCTTTGAGGGTGGGGATGCGAACAGCCCGCGCAGTGAACTTGGTTTTCAAGGGATTGCCGACAATCTTGAGGTCATCCAGGTGCCGCAGAGCAAGGAACTCGTACGGGAAGGTGGTAATCATGTTCTTGCCCAGATCGAGCGAGGTGAGTTTGCGCAGCATGCAGAGATGCAGCGGGATTTCGCGAATTTGGTTGGAGCGCAAGTTGAGTTTTTCGAGGTACTTGAGCTCGAGAATTTCCGGCGGGATGCTGGTCAGGTTGTTGCGAGAGAGGTCGAGCTGACGCACATTTCGCAATTCGAGGAGGTGGGGCGGAAACGAGACGAGCGACGAGGCGTACCAGGGGACGCTAATCATGTGGTGCAGCTGAGACACGTTGTGTGGCAAGTCGAGGATGCGGTTGCGTGAGATGGTGAGCTGGCGCAGGTTGACGAGCAAGCAGATGGCGTCCGGCAGACTGGTCAGCAGATTCTTGTCGAGCGTGAGCTTGACCAGCCGCGGCATGTTGCCGATCGCTGCGGGCAGCTCGGTGATTTTGTTGTTGCTAAGATCAAGTTTTTCGAGTGCGGGAAGCTGGCAGAGCGCAATGGGGAAGGCCTTGAGCTGGTTATCGACTGCGCGTAACCGGTAAAGGCTGACCATCCCGCTCATGGAGTCGGGGAGCTCTGTCAGTTGGTTGCGCTTGACGTCAAAGCGCTTGAGCTTGCGGAGACGGCCAATCGAGTCGGGCAGCTCGGTCAGGTTGTTGTACGACAAATCCAGCAGCGTCAGCTCTGTCAGCTGGCCAATGGTCGCCGGCACGCTCGTGAGCTCATTGTGGGACAGCTTCAAGTGCACGAGAGCGTGCAATCGTCCCAGGCCTTCGCTCGGCAGCGTCGTCAGCAAGTTGTGGCTGACATAGAGGTATTGAATGTGTTTTAGCTTGACAATGTCTAGCAACGACAAAAAAAACACAAAACAACAAAAACAACAAAAAACAAGTGAGTGCCTTGAGGGCTTTCTTGCAAGTTTGTTGTTTCGGTGATGGGTGTTTGGTTGTGTGATGGGGATGAAGCAGAGGCTTTGGCAATTGCGATCTCTTTGTCGATGAGTCATTTTCGATGGCAAGTTCCAACAATGGCAATAACGACGTTCTCGACCATGTTGTGTTGCTTTTGATTCGTCGATGATGGGTTTTTTTCGTTTTTGTTTTTGTTTTTGTTTGTTTCTGCGGTTGAACAAGAAAAATAAAAACCAACAAACCAAAAAAAAAAAACAGAAGGGGAAAAAAAGCGCGCGCACAAAGCAACAAAAAAGGCAAATCGAGAATACGGTGCTTTTTTTTTTTTTTTTTTTGTTTTGTTTTGTTTTGTTTTTTGGGGTTGCTGGGGTGTGTGGATCAGGAGTGAGATGAAATGATGGGATGACGAGGGGACGGAACAAGAAGGAGTCTGAAAAGGTGGTGAAGTGAGGATTGGGAAATGTGGATCACCGACCCGCATGCAATGTGTCAGCCAGTGACACCTGACACCTGCAACAAAGTCCCAAAGAGCACACCAGAGATCTGCGCTGTTCGGCATCACAAGCTTATCACGACGATTCATTCAAGCAAGTGACGTGAAGCACAAGCCATCTCCAATCGCGACGTTCCAAGTCGAAGCGAACGAGTGGGAAGCTCAAGAAGAAAAAAAAAAAAAAAAAGCACGATGGTCACCTCCCCGTTTGAACACATTCCAGACAATCGAGTCTGACGAGTTTGCGTGTCAATGTCCGACGAGAGAGAAGAACGAGAGTGTGAAAGCATCGCGAAACAAGCAGCAGCGAAGCGATACGAGACACCAAATAAACAAAAGAAAAAAAATACAAAATAAACAAAAAAAAATCGTCAATGAAAGAACATTGAAAACAAAAGATAAAATATAAACAAATAATAATAATAATAAAAAAAACGTTCCGACGAAGAAAAAGAATCATAAATTGGAACGGAATGGGCGACAAAACACCCGCACAAGTGCAAGAGAGAGATAGGGAGAGAGGGAGAGGGAGAGGGAGAGAGAGAGGGAGAAGAAGAAGAAGGGTGAGGAACCGAGATGACGAAGAGAGCGAGCGAAAGCGCGTTGAATGGCGAATGACGGCGACTCGACTCGCTTTGGAATCGAGCACGACGACGCCGTCCTGTCGCTTGCATTCGTTCATGCTGCACACCTTGCACACACCACCGCCCAGAGCCATCAAGATTGAGAGAGCGCGACAGACGAGCGCGACACCAGACGGCGCCCTCGCTTCGAATGGTTCGTCCTCTAGTGTTTTTTGTTTTCAAACGCGTCACTCGAGTGCATGGGTGGCTGAAGGCAACACCAAGCGCACTTGAAACAGCACCACGGCAACGCAAGCCACTGGCTGCTGGTGCGGTGCTTTGTTGGGAACGGGACGTTGGGGGCGCCTTTGGCTCACAAGGGCAAAACCCAAAAAAAAAAAAAAAAAAAAAAAAAAAAAGTAACCGCAACGGAAAAAGCTGCGTCGATTGTCGCTCCCGTTTGCGCACGCGCGTCTTGCATTTGCCTCCGCTGCTGCAGTCCGCATGCCAAACAGTCCGTTGTGGACGTTCGTGAACAGCGGCAGGCTGGGCAGGAGTGCGGGACGGGCATCAGCGGAAGGGGGGAAAGAGGGCGTCGTTTTGGCGGTCATTCTCGCTACACGCCCATTGGCTCAAACTATCTAGCACAGCAACGGAGGGGAGGGGAGGAAGAGGGGGGCCCATCAGTTTGCCACAAACCTTCTGGGATTTCCGTGATGCGATTCTCGCTAATGTTGAGAGCGCGGAGCTGTTCCTGTGACAGCAAGACTTCGTTGAAGTGCGTGAGAACGTTGCCTTGCAGCGCCAGCGAGCGGACCTTGCGCGACGCCAGCAGCCTGTCGTCCAGCTCGGTCAACCGTCGCGAGCTCAGGTCGATCTGCCGCGTGCTGACGTTGCCCATTTGACGCACAAAGACAGAAGGACGTGGAAAGAGAGAGAAAAAAAGGTTAAAATAAACAGTAAAAAAAAAAAAAAAAATAGACTGAGACTGCTTTATGAAGGAGCGTTGGATGAGCTTTGAGGGGAGAAGTGTAGCGTAGGGACAGCACATGGCGATGGAAGGTGGGTGGGCGCAGCAACGTGTGCCGGTAACCGTTTTGAATGAGACGCGAAAGGGTCGAGAGGAAAGCAAGCGGAGAGACGAGCGCGATCATGGAAAACGA